GCCTCGGGCTCCTCGTCGACCTCTGCCGTTTGCCCTGGCGCGCCCGTGCTCGGACGGATCTGTCGTCTCTTGGCGGCGGCGGCGCGGGGAGATGGTGCGGCGCCTCCATGCGGCCGTGGGAGACGGGCGGATGCGCGCGCGCGCGCTTGCGCGCCGGCGTGCGCTGCTCTCCTCGCGCCTGTGACCGTCGGCTGCAGGCAGTGCGGCGCCAACTTTGGCGCGATGTTGCTGTGCCATCCGCTCGGTCGGCCGCACCCTGACGCGCGCCGCGCTGCTCGCCTGCTGCGAGAGCGTCCCGCAGCGTGCGGGCCTGCTCGTCGGGAAGAGCGTGCCGCCGTCGTTTCCGCAGCTGCCGTAGCCTCGTCGCGGGCGGCCCTGCCCCTGGCCCTTCGCCCTGCCCCGTTGCCCGCCTGCTCTGCTGCCCCCCTGCTTGCCGCCTTCCTCTCTGGTGCCGCCCCTGCCCCTTTGCCGCCTGCCCGCCCGCCTCCCTTCGATTCCGCCGCTTCGATTCGGTTCGATATCGATGGCTTCCGATTCCGATTCGATTCGGCTTCGGATTCCGATGTGGGCTCCGATGTTTTCCACGGAGGCCTGCCAGTCTGCCAGTGTCCGCCGACTCGACTCTTCTGGACGCGGCCGCAGGCTCCCTCCGATTCGCTTGGCTTCGATTGCCGATCCGACTGATCGATTTGAAGTCGATTTGATTCTGGGCTCTCCTGCCGGCACCCCAACGGCGCGATTTCAGCTTGGACGGCCTCCGGGGCCGCAGGGAGCCGAAAACTGCCGAAAACCCTGCCTCCCGATGTTTTGTCGCGACGCGAGATGGTCTGAGTGCGGGAGTCAACAGTCGACCGAACTAGGATTTCGGAGCGATCCCAGTCGTGGCCTTGAGGTCGCTTGAGGCTCCGACGAACGGGAAAGCGCCCGGAAACAACGAAACCCGAAGCCTCGAAGATCGATCCTTGATCCTGCCCGCCTGGCGTCCAGGACGACCTGGCGGGCGTCCATGCGGCCCACCTGCAGCTGAAGAACGCGTTTGACGATGTCGAGGAGAAGCTCGGGCCGGCGGCCGGGTCGGCTGACCCGCCAGGCTCCCCGCAGCTCGAGGAGCGACCAGAGACCAGTGTCAGCGAGGCAGCGCGGGGGGGTGGCATGATGCTGGTCAGTTGGCGCAGGGTCTTCGTTCTCTGGAGGTGCGGGTTCCGGAATCTTTTCACACGGAGCGTTGTCACCCAGTTTCGGGCCTCGGGAGGTCCTCCTCGAGATATGCCGCGAAAAGGTGGTGGCGAGGGCTCCAGTCGCGTTTTTGCGACGATGCAACTTCTTCGTCGCGACGTCGGACTTCAGAGGCTTTCGCAGGGTCTTGGCTTCCAGCCGTGGGCTTCTCCAGGCTGCTTCCCCGGACTTCCCCCAAGCTTTCCTGGGCTTGTCCCCTGGCTGCCCTCAGCCACGCGCAGAGGGGGGGGGGGCGTGGGGAGGGCTCCTCAGAAGCACCCCTTCCTGTTAGGAGGCGCGGGCACCTCTTGATGGGCCGGCCCCTGCCACGAGGAAGCAGCCTGCTTCTGAGAATGGCTCCCCCCCTCCCCCTATATTTATTAGGAGGGGACAAAAACACACAGACACAATTATTCGTCGATCCCCAGGAAAATATGCGAAAATGTGGGAAGTGGGGGGGAAGACAAAAGCCCAGAAAATATGGGGAATCATTTTATTTGTGTGTATTTATTTGTGTGTTCTGGGCCCCTTCATATATGTAAGTCGGGCGCGTCAAGATACGTTGGCCGACGTACGAGATATGCGTTGGCCGACATGGACACGGAAGCGAGAACCTCAAGGTGTACCTGGCTTAGGCACTGGGCCGCCCAAGAGGGGCTTTCTATTGCGAATGCATTCTTCCGCACGCCAGAAGCGAAGCGAATCACATACAGCTCCGGTGCCGATTACAAACAGCTCGACTATACACTCCTGAATCGCACGCTTTTCTGACACTGCACGAACGCCGAGACCAGCAATAGATGTGACCTGGGAGCCGATCACAAGGCAGTCGTCGCCGACCTGCGGATACCAACGTCTATGATAACAAGGCGGCCCCAGAACGACGACCATGCACGTCAGCAGCGTAACCGTTTGAAGTGTACATCTCTGGCCGGCACGCTCAAAGACAGAAGCGCCTACCAAGACAACCTGCGGCCACGACTACGCCCAAACGACCTGCCACCCGACTCAGAAGCACTCTGCGAACACATCCAGCAAGTCATTGTCGATGCCGTCGTTGCTAGCAACGCGGGGGCATGCCATCGCGAGGGCGGGAGTAACAACGCTGTGCAGAGTACCCAACCAGTTCAGCAAGCAGACGCAACATAACGACAAGCAAACCAACAAACGACAGAACGACGCGACGCACCACCAAACTAGCGACGACCGACCAGCAGACCGACAAGCCAACCAACAGAACGGCACAACGACTACACACTAATGGCACAACGACAGCAGACTCCAAACGACGACCACGACGCCAGAAAGCAGGTTAGCAAACTCATACAGCAAGAAATCCGCACACAAAAGCGGAGGAAACGACGTGCACATATTGGAGATATTACCGAGCAGTTCAGATTTTTGAAGAGCATCGCACGCATCGACACACGGAGAAGACAGACTCTCATCACGCACATGACAGACAAGGAGGGATCCAAACGCACGACGAGAGGAAATAGCATACGTTTTTGCAGAATTCTACGGACAACTTTACAGCTCGACGGCGGAACTGACGCGGCAAGAGGGGCCCGCCACCGACCGCAGCCGACCAGCAGCACCACAAATAGCACCGACCCCAGCCGACCAGTATCACCCACCGAAGACTACTGACCACCACCGACCCGCACCGCAAGCAGCACCGACCCAGACCGACCAGCAGCACCCGCCACCGACCACCGCCGACCACCGACCAGCAGCACCACAAGCCGCGACTACCAGTACCACCGCCGACCAGCAACACCACGAGCAGCAACGCGTCCGACTAGCAGCACCACCACCGCCGACCCACCAGCGACCACCGACGACCGCCGACCAGCACCACAAGCAGCACCGACCCTGACCGACCAGCAGCACCCGCCAGCGCCCACCACCGACCACCACCGATCAGCAGCACCACGAGCAACGTCGACCCAGACCGATCAGCAGCACCCACTGACGACCGCCGCCTACCACCGACCAGCACCACGAGCAGCGCCGACCCCAGCCGACCAGCACCACCCACCAGCGCCCACCACCGACCACCACCGACCAGCAGCACCACACGCAACGCTGACTCCAACCTGCCAGCAGCACCCAGAAGCAGCCACCGACGACCCCTGACCAGCACCACAAGCAGCACCGACCCAGACCGACCAGCAAGCCCACCAGCACCTACCACCGACCCAGACCGACCAGTGGCGCCAGAAGCAGCGCCGACGCTGCAAGAGGGGCCCAGCGACGAGATCCCACTTTTCACCATGACAGAGGTCAGCAAAGCAACCAAAGCACTCCGACTTGGTAAGGCCCCCGACACCATGGGCCTCCGTGTAGAGATGCTGAAAGAAGACAGCGGAGCTCAGAAGTGCACTTCTCCATCTCTGCAACACAGTCGTCCAGCTCAAAGCCCCGCCGCCGGCTAGCTGGAGGAGCAGCGTCATCGCAGTCATTCAAAAAAGTGGAGGTCTCGCACTTCCCCAGAATTGCCGACCAATCTGCATGATACCACTATTGTACAAAGTCTTCAGCCGTCTGCTCTACAACCGGCTCCAACCAGCACTGGACTCGACAGACTGCTGACCAGGCCGGGTTCAGACGAGGACATTCGATTATCGGCCATTTATTTACGTCTCACTTGATACGTGAACGTTCGCATGAATGGAACCAGAAACTATGGGTCGCAGCACTCGACTCCAAAGAACCTTTGGCGCAGTCGAGCACAAAAGTATTTGGGCAGCACTAGAGGCGCAGGGTGCACCACAAGGGTACATGCCACTACTCAAGCAGTTGTACACAGGACGAACGACCACGGTGAAGACCGATGCCACAAGCAGGCCGTTCAGTCTTTTGTGGAGCACTTTGCAAGGCGACCCACTCAGCTCCTTGCTTTTCAACTCCCTTCTGAAGCACATCGTTGTACCGCTGATGGCTGACTGGCATAATAAAACGCAAAGGAGTACGGCTAGGATTCACGATCATTTCAATGCTCACTAATTTGCGGTTCGCCGACGACGTGCTACCGACGGGCCAAACCCTCCCGCGTCTCACCACCATGCTCGACGACATTGCCAGCGCAGCGCGCTCCCGCGGGCTCGAGCTACACCCAGGCAAAACAAACATCATGAGCAACTCACAAGGAGGACAGGTAGGGCGAGCTCGCGCACAGCACGCGTCCAAGACATGGGCATCTATATTTTTCTTGACGAGGGCAGTCTCAAATATCTCGGCCAGCAGATCAGCTTCCACCACAGCTCCATGGAGACATAAGTTCACGATCGCACGAGAGCTGCGTGGGCATCGTGCACTTCCCACAAAGAAGAGCTGACGAGTAAGCACTACCCACTTGCACAACGACTCAGTGACACCGACAGCACTGTACGGAGCAGAAACGTGGACAATTGCGGAACCACTTCGGCAGCACTTCCAGCGGACACGGCGACCCATGCTTCGTATGATTATCAGGACGCCTCGACGACAGGGCCCCCCCGGCGGACAGCGGCGACATCGAGACACGACGGGCATCGATGGCACGGAAGAAGACGCGCAGTTCAGAGACTCCCACGACGACTCCCACGACGACAGCCGGAGCGACGACGCAGACAGCAACCTACCGCAACACGACACAGCATCGACACCAACATGTAGCAGTGATGGCACCGACGACGACAATGACGTGGACCTCGGTGAACCTAGGGTCGACTACATCCAACGCGCCACGCGACGTGCCGAGCAGCTCATGAAGTTCCACCAAGTAGACAGCTGGGTGACGACACACAAAAAAGGTTTGGATAATGGCAGCGAAAGTGGCCAACCACGCGCCCATCAGGTGGACATGGAGGGCTTTGCATTGGCAGCCAGATGCGCATCGACAACACGGGCGCCAACACACGTGCTGGGGCGACGAAGTTCTTGCACACGTACGTCGGCGCAGGCCAGACCTCCACCCAGCCCCGGCCCCAACGCGCGACACGGGGCAGCCTGACGACCTCACGTGGGTTCGAACGGCCCAAGATACCACCACGTGGTCTAACCTCGATCACCACTACATCAGCACGTGAACGAACATTACGCCTACATCGACGTCAAGGACTTTCCCCTCCCTCCCTCCCTCCCTCCCTCCCTCCCTCCCCCCAACACCGACTCCAAGGATCGCTCCCCCCTTTCTGCTTTTCTAATTTTCTGTTGTATCTCGCATTGCATGTTCCTCAGACACACCATTTTTTTTTTCCGCATCGATGCCACGGCCTCCACCGCCGCCACGCCCAGGCGGGCTCGTGCGGGCGCCCACGCGGCGTGCGCGCGGATCTGGCGCTCGTTCGTTCGTTCGTGTCCCTCTACAGGAAGAATATTCAAACATAGGCAAAACATCGTAGGTTTTTTTTTTTTTTTTTTTTTTTTTTTTTTTTCTCTCTGTGGGGGGTTCGAGTATTTCTGATCTGTCGTTCATAATCTTCCTGTGTGGGGGCATGCCCGACCTGACCCTGTCTACTCCGTCGTGCGAGCCGCCACTTTCTATCTGTTCATCTGGTGTTTTTTTTCCAGACTTTGCCGGGGACTCGCGGATTCCATCGCGCAGCGAAGACCCTCTCGGACTCTTTCCGCAATTTTTTTCGTGCGTCGCGGCCTCGGGAGGGCCCCGTCGGCCCCGAAGTCATCGGCAGTCGACCGAGGTGGAAAAAACATTCGGCAGCGCGCGAGGGGGGGAAGTGAGAGAGGGAAGGCCTTCTCAGAAGGCGGCGGGGCTTCCCAGAAACGCTGCTGCCTTTAGAGAAGTTCTGTCTGTGTCTTCCGGGAAGGCCCAGGACAACTTTCAGGAGGCTGGAGGTCTTCCGAGGCCTCTGAGAAGGCCAGCCCCTCTCACTGCCCCCCCCCTGGCCTGGCCGCCGGAACGTGCCAGGATGGAGCGCGGGAGGGATCCGAGGGCATCTCTTCTCGCTCTCTGGCTCGTGGGAGCGCCCGCGGGGTCCGCTGCCATCCCCAGAACTGGTGCCCTGACAGTCGCCCACAAGATCTCCAGTATTTGTCTCCCGTGCGGTCTCCCTCACGGTCTCCCGTGTGGTCTCCCGCCTGGTCTTCCGCAGGGTCTCCCGTTGGGTCTCCCCCGCATGGATGGTTTCCCGTTTGGTCTCCGGCACTGTCTGCCGCATGGTCCTCCCCACGGTCTTTCGTGTGCTCATCCGCGCGGTCTCCTGCTCGGTCTCCTGTATCTAAGTCTTCTGCTCTCCCGCATATGGTCTCACGTGCGGTCTCCCGTATGGTCTGTTGCGTTCTCCCGGCTGGTCTCCCTTGTTTGCGTTTCCAGTACAGCACAATGTTAAGTCGGGCCTGTCCCTCCACAGGGGGAGAATTCAAAATAGCCCAAGAATAGCCTGGGGACGTTTTTTTTTTTTTTTTTTTTTTTTTTTTGAAAGTATGTGGCTATTTGTCATCATTTGTCGTCCAAAATTCGCCTGTCGGAGGACACGCCCGACCTCAGCAAAATGCTCTGGCTGCGCTTCGATCTGCTGCCAGGCGTCTTCTGCCAGCAGGGTGTATGGAGTTTACTTTTGCGTGGCCGGCTGCATCGCTGCCGCCATGCAGCTTCTCTCGGCGGCGACCCGGGGGGGAAGTGAGACAGAAAAGGCCTGCTCAGAGGCCTCGGAAGTCCCCCAGCCTTCCGAGCAGTTTTCTGAGCCTTCCCCGAAGACGTTGACAACAATTTCTCGGAAGGCAAGAGCGCTCCTGGGAAGCCTCGCCGCCTTCTGAGAGGGCCTTCTTCTCCTCGCTCCGCCTCCTCGCCGGCCGCCGAGCATGGAGTGGACTTTTGCGTGCGTGGCTGGCTGCATCGCTGCCGCCGCTCCGCTGTCCGTCGTCGGCTCTCCTTGAATTTGCTCGGCATGCTTGCATGTGCGGTCGGCTGTCGACAGTGACGGCTGGGTTCGCAAATTATCAGGCTCTGTGCCCCAGTCAGCCCGATTGACCCGCCCTCTGGACTCCTCATTGCGGGCCGCCGATCCCAAAAAAAAATCGCTGCCGCTGTTCAGCTTCTCGCGACGTCACAGCCTGGCTGCTGCGGAGCTCGTCGGCGACCTCGTCCTGCGGAGGAAGGCGTGGTCTTGGTCTCTGCAGGGGCCCGTCGGCGCCTCCGGGCTCTTCGCTTCGGGTTCACCTGCGCCATCAAGTCGGGCCTGCCCCTCAACAGGAGGAATATTCCAACATAGAAGATAATAGGCTGGGGGCGATTTTTCGATCATTGTTTGAATATCTTGGGGCATTTTGTAGGTATTTTTTGGTGTTTCGTCCAAAATCCGCCTGTGGGGGGGCCCACGTAACTTTGGGTTCACCAGCAGCTGCGTGCTGCTGCCCATGCACTTCGATCCAACACCTGTGACCTCACTCGGCAGCGATCCCGGGGGGCAGTGAGAAGGGGCGTGCCTTCTCAGACGGCTCGGACATCCCCCAGCCTTATGAGAGGTTTTCTGAGCCTTCACCGAAAACGCAATATAACCTCCGCCTTCTGAGAAGGCCTTCTCTCTGGTTGACCCACAAGGGGGTCCAGCGAAAAGGGGGTGATGCACTAGATTTGGTGCAATAGGTATGTGGGGTTGCCCTACACTTGGGGCGTGCGATACATCCTGGTGCTCAAATGAATTGCTGGTTTTCGCGTGCAATGCGTTAGTTGCAGTACAATGCCATCTCATTCTCTGTCGCAATATATTTGCAATACAATGCCCCAAACCTATTTCACCACCCCCTTTCAGCTGGACCCCCTTGTGGATCAACCGAATTCTCCCTCTCCTTCTCCCCCCTCGCCCGCCGCCAAAACACGTGTGACCGCATTATCGCTGTCTCTGCAAATCGGCAGGCTAACGACGGACGCTGATTTTCAAGCACTCGGTGCTTCCTGGCTGCCTGTCCAGCGTCGCGCTACTTTGCGGCCCTCTGCGGCCCAACCATGGCGGCTCCTAGCTCTGGCGTAGTTCTGGTTGTCTGTTACGGTCCAAATTGGAAGGTTACCATCTTCGCGTCAAGGATGACATTGGGCTTCAAGCGGGATTCGGCTCAGCCCTTTTTTCTTGCTCATCGCCCTCTGGTGCTGCTGTTGTTCCTCCTCTTGTCCCTCTCTGTCGAATGCTGCTGGCAAGGCAGATAGCACCAGCAAGCGAGTGCAATACAAGGCCAGTCGTTGCGAGGCAGAGCCGCCCATCGCGGCACGTCGAGGGGCCCAGGCAGCCAGGCTCAAAGCAGAGGGTGGCAGCTACGGGCCAGGAAAACGGAGGGTCGTGCCCCGATGACGGGGCTGTCGTTTTCAGATCCCTTGACGCCTTGACTGTTCCGAGTCGCAGGCCCCTGGAGTTCTCGAGACCTTTCTGGGGACCTGCTTTCGCAGCCCTAGAGGTTGACACCAACACCAATATCGGCGAAATCCAGGATCATCTTCCCCCTGTGGAGGACCCCCCCTGTGTTGGTGTTGGTGCCCATTTCCAGGCCTCTAATGTTTTTCCTGTATCCCATGCAGTTTTCGACGGTTTTCGACTTCGCCACTGGGCTCCTGTCCAAGGTGTACCTTTTCCTGCACATCATCTTCGGCACCGCCTGATCCCAGGGCTTCGCCCTCTCCCGGCCGCCGTGAGGCCCCACCTTCTTTCGCCCTTTCTCTGTTAATTAAAACTGTGCACGTCCCGCTTAGCTTTCAGCGGAAGAGGTTCGCTCTCGCCCCGCAGATCAAAAACATGTTTTTTCGACGGTTTCCAGGTCACTTCAGCCCCGGCTGGCCGTCCCGAGTGCCCTGGCTGTCTCTCCTGCCCTCCGCGGCTGCTTCTCCTCCTCGCGCGCAGCCCCAGTGCTACCAGACGATCAGTTTGACGAGCGCCCCCCACCACTCGAGCGCCCGTGCGGACTGCATCTGCGGGGCACGACGAGCGACAAGAAGTGTTACTCGACTGTTCTGGGGCCCAGAGCGAGACCCTGGAGGTCTCGATCATGAAAAAGACTGGCCGTCTTGATATTTTCCGTGACGCAGGATGTCTGGCATCGCTCGTGTCGGGGTGTGCGTCGAGTGACCCCAGGATGGCGACCTAGATCTTCAATGCCTTGAGCTGTCCAGGCGGAGGTCTTTTGCCATTCTCGGCCTCCAGGGGCCCGCTTCTTGCCCTGGGACCATCGAGCAAACTAGCCAGGGCGAACATCATTCCCGGGGAAGGGGTCGATAGCGTCGGGGCCCGCGCAGTGGAAACATGATTGCATCGGAGGTATGGGAGGGCAGGTGCTTCTGGAATATCTGATCCTAGCGCTACCCCAAGCGCCCTCGTGTCTCAATATCCGAGCGGATTTACTTGTTCCTTCCTTGCCGGGGGCGTGCCGAATTCATAGCAATTTGTAACGTCTTGCTACATCCCGTTTCCATGTATTTCTTCCGACTGGCGTGTACCGGGGGATTGAGTGATATGAATCCGGAAGGGCAGGTGAAAGGCTAAAACGTTGGATTTTGAATGTTGGCTTGTGCATTGCCGCTGCTTCTGGAGTTCAATTACCGCTAATCCTTTGTAGACTTGTTTTTATGGATGTTTCGGCCAGGTGGACAGCCGTCATGAGGCGCTAGTTGAGGTCGCGAGCATAGTCAAACATCTCTGGGTCAGCTCATCTGGGTTTCGATTCTGCCTTTTCCGCGGCTTGCACATCTGCGTCCATCCGTTGCCAGGGTGCCACCTACGCGGGCCAGTGGAAGGGCAGCCTGCGACATGGCCAGGCCGTCTTGCTCATGCCAAGCCGTGATGCCATGCGGTGAAGT